GTAAGTGAATGAAGACAGAGCTGAAGGAAACAAGCATTTTGGGTTTTTCATTGTGGGAAGCAGGAGTGATATAGAATTAAGAACAGAGAGGCTGACATTATGATATATTGAAATGGATTAAAAATTAGAATGAGTATCATCTCATATGAAGTAATTTTTAGCTGAAAGTGTCCTAGGAACAGAACATCATGCCCCAGGCCTAACTGACCTCCAAAATTGGCACTATTGATATAGAACAACCCCCAAATCTGTTTTGCTATAGAATCCCCAAAGCTGTGTTCACTTGCCCAATGTGCAGAAAGCTAATCTCTTAACATTGGGCTGATGGAAGAAAGTAGGTGTTTATTGCAAAGCGCAGAGCAGGGAGCTGGGCTGCTGTGGCTAACTTCCAGGCTCCTTGAGGGCTTAGGAGTGACAGTTCTTATATGCACTCAGCATTAGGCCAAGTTCCTGATTGATCTTATGCTTGTGATCCTGCTTTGATTAGTCATCAATACTGTGTCCTTTAGGGGATATTAATGATGGAAAAGTGGGCTTCAGCAGTTTGGGGGCTGCATACAGATGGTGGCTACTTTTTGCTCTAGGCCTGGATTTCCTGGAAAAGAAACCACTCTACACAGGATGGAACATCAAGATGTCATCTCTAGGGGAAATAAATGCCCACAGGAGTCCAGGGATTAGGGACCTTATAGGGAGTGGGTAGAGGTAGGGGGGATGCACCACTCCTTCAATCCAGTGAGCTAATTTTAGCTGGAGGCTGATTTACATAAAACAGTACAAGGAAACTTTCAGCTAAGGGAGAGAGCCTGGGGAAACCCTGGGAGACTGGGATGTGATGGTGTCTGGCATCTGTATGCAAGGCACATCCAAGGGGCTTGATTTCACAATCAGAAATTGCGAGTTGTCTCTCCTAGGTCTTGGGACGTGACAGGCCTGCTCCTGTTCCGTCGCTTGCTTGCTGTGTGATGTGATCAGTTTGTCTAGCTTCTCTGAGTTATAAAAATATGTAAAATCAGGCAGCAAGGCACACCTCATAGAATTCCTGGGAGAATTAAATACAGCTGCCAAAGGATTCCAACCGGAGTACTGGATACATTTTATAAAGATGCACTGATCCTCAAAAGCATTCCTAATAAGGATCTTTATTGTCACTCATTTTACTATGCTTATATTTATACTAGGTCAGGTGGCTTTTCAGCTTTTATGTTTCAAAAACTCTTCTTATGTCTCCAAACACATTCAAAACATTAAAATACAGGTTAGCATTTAGCCTAGCAGGTAAGACACTCATGTTCCACATTGGAGTACCAGGTTTCAATTCCCAGTTCTGCCTCCAGCCTCCAGCTTCCTGCTAATGCAGTCCCTCGGTGGCAGCAGGTGATGGCTCAAGCCGTTGGATCCTTGCCACCCATATGGGAGATCTGGACTAAGTTCCCTGCTCCCAGCTTCAACTCAGCACAGCTCAAGGCCTTGCAGGCATTTGGAAAGTGGACCAATAAATGGGAACAGCTCGCTCCTGTCGCTCAAAGATGAATTAAAAGAAATATATTGAAATAATATCACGTGCATTTTTACTGACTCAACATTCAATCTCTGAGCATACTGTCCCACAAACTGACCTTTCCAATCCACTAGTATTTGACTCATGAACTAAAACCGAATATTGAATAAGTTTTAGCAACCATGTTAAAATAAATGTTTACATTTATCAAGAGAAATTGTGACATCGAAGGAAGTAAACATCATGTCCAAAGAACAACTTCCTAGCATTCAAAGGAAAATCCCCTAGCCCTGGTCGCCTCAGCAAGGATGTTCCTACATAAATTACTTAACCAGCTGGTAGCTGTTGAGAATACAATGAATGCAAGGCACTCAGAAATTTGGGGATTTCTTACAAGGGAAATCACCACTTTTTCTTTCGAGCTGCTATTTTAAAATATATTTATTGATCAAAATGAAATGACAATTATAGCAACGTATTCCTTCAAAGCATTAAGAAAAACATATTTAATTGAAGGTGGTCAATTTATAGGTACACAGACACACATTTCTATAAATTCAGAGTGGGTGCATTGGACAGAAATTTTTATCTGTTTTCTTGCTTTGGAAAAGCTGTCAAATATTTCTTACACTGTAAGAATGCTCCAGAACATGGGGAAGATGGAAGTTTTTGTTTGTTTGTTTTTTAAAAAAAGATGCTACAGAAGAGAATCATACATCTTCTCAAGGAAAGTATTCAGTACTAATGTTGCATATTGCTGGTGAGTAGACCGTGCACCATTTTCGGCACAGGCAGGCACAACTCAACTCTTCTTCACGAAGGAGAATGAAGAAATCCTTACAGTGGAGTATAAGAAAATGTGATTGATATGCTTTGGGGTTACTTACAAATGCAAAGCTCACTAACAGGGTTGATACCAGATAGGTGACAGCACTAAAGTCCATGACAAATAAAAGTTGCTAAGTAAATTCTGGCTTTCTTTCCTTCTTTCTTTTGAACCATTTTTCTCACTTTTTTTTTTCTTTTTTTGTCTATTATCATAATGTCCAGGCTTTGTAACTCAGAGTATAGCCTCGTGTGCTGAGATCTCTTTACACTCCTTTGTTACCAAGTAAACAATCCCCCTCTGGTTATTCATTAACCAATGGCAGGGGATAGTCTCTGTCACAAAGCAGTATGGGAAAAGCAGAGACTCAGATGAAATAACTATAAAATAAATTCCTCTGAATTTCCACCCTTCTTCTAGTATCTTCCAAATTCACCTATTGGGCAGGTCAGCATGCCAGAGGGTGGTCTGCTAGTGAGCCCCACTTCTGTGAAAAGGGCTGTGGTTCCCTATTAGCATCTGATTGGATCCAATTATGCAAGGCTTCATTGGTTAGCAGATAGGGGCATTCATGCCGTGGCTATTTTTCCCATTCAAAGGTATTAACCAAAATAATTCTGTTTTTTTTTTCTTCTCCTTCTACACTTTACCCCCTCAAACAAAGTCTATAATTTCACACCTTAAAATAGTAAACCCAGATGATAAGAGTTCTCAATGAAATGTATTCATAAACATTTATCTGTTCCTTTCATATTGATTGTTTCATTCATATTAATGATAACTAATGCCTTTGCTTTGGGTTATGTTGTTTTCAATTTATCCAAAGAAGACAAAAGCCTTTTAAGGGAATTTCAATGTCCCCTCTATTATTTGACCTCAGAACAAAAATATTTTTGCTGCCTCACTTAAAAAAAATTTATTGCAAGGGTTCAAGGACACATGAGAAGGGTTCCTACAGTCTCCCAAAATCACTGACGTACAAACAAGAGAACTAATTTTTCTCTACTGTTTTTACCAGAAAAAGCGAAAGCTTTTTGTCACACTAGGCAAACACAACTGGTTTAGTCTCATAAATTTACATATCCTAAGTAAGTAGTGTCAGTATTCAGGCAGATTAGATTAACAGGCCTTGTGTTACTATCCAAGGGAAAAAAAGAAAAATATATCAAAAGTCATCTGGTTAATTGGAGGAGGTGGGGAGATGAAGTTGCTTCCATTAAGTTCTTTTGGAACAGTTGCAAGATCCACAAAATCTGTTTTTAGCTCAGTCATTCATCCTCTTGGATGTGTGATGTGTTTTCAATTTAATGATAATTGCCCTTTCCATTTCTTTGATAATTGCCCTCTCTATTATCATTTATGGAGATTCAAATTATAAATCAAGGCAAGACAGCCAGAAAATATTATGATTGTCCCTTCTGAGGCCACAGCAAACTCAAGTAACACTGCCAAAGTCTGGGAGCTTAAGCTATTTTCATTTGCATGTTTCTGAACATTTTATTTTAGGGTCCAATGGTTTCCTAAAGAGGATGTTGCATGACAATAATAGGACTGAATGATAATGTGTACAGAGAATATAAATTTAGCTTTGGTTGAAGTTAGGATCTTGTATTTGAAATCAGAATCTTGCTCTCCTGACTGTTCGAAAGCAAAGGTAAGGAATCAGCAGCAAATGTTTGCTGCTAGTCACCGGTGTCCCCAAGGAGGACATTACACAGTCCTGCCTCCCAGGAGCTCCCCTCTCTTTCTCCTCTTTGCCTGTTTTGGAGAAAACTGCATTCTTCTCGCTGAATATGCTCCATGATCAACACAATGAGCTGTGTGAAAAGACATGAGTGAGCTTTTATCTAAGACTGCAGGAGCCATCCCAAACAAAACAAAGAAAATAAAATGTACAACCAAGAATGGCTCTTTGAGATGGCAACAGTGGTGTTCTCGTGCCAGCTTGTACCTGCTCAAGAGATTCCTTTATTAAATTTTCAGGAATTTGGCAAGCAGTTTGTTTCTCCCAGAGAGCCGTTGTTAAAAATTAAATTGCATAAATTTAGAATTAAATACATCCTATTAAACACAAGGCAATAAATACACAAAACTCATCACTTTCTAATTGTTGTGGTACATTGTATTATTTTATATGTTTGAATGGCAGAATAACAGAAAGAGAGAGAGAGAATCTTCCATGCACTGACTCACTTACCAAATACCCTCAACAGCTGGGACTAGGCCAAGTCAAAGCCAGGAGCCGTGGATCCCATCTGGGTGTCCTACAAGGGTACCAGGGACCAAAGTACTTAGCCATCATCTTCTTTTTCCCAGGGTGCATGGTTTTAGCAAGCTGGATTGGAAGGGGACGTGAAACTACATCCCAGGCACTCTGATATGGCAGGTAGTCATCACAAGTAGCAGCCTAGCCTGCTGGGCCACTGTACCCAGCCCATTTTCTGTGTTCTTGATGTCTACTGTGTTTTCACATGAGAAATGGTATACAGTGGTGTGATTTGGGTCGTCTCTTCCCAACTCTGCATTCTATGACATTATGTTAGTAGCTAATATGGCGAATATTAGTAACTACTATTACAGATGGTATTTTTACTACTCATCAGAAAATGCTACAAGTCAATGCTTCCCCCTAGACAGCAGTTTGTTACACACCCCTGGGTGGTAATCCAGTTTTTACAAGAAAGGACTTGGGGGCACTCGGCGGTGACTCTCGTCCGCGTCCCTCTCGCTCGGCTTCCGGTCCGCAGCCGTCATGGCCGACAAGCCCGACATGGCGGAGATCGAGAAGTTCGACAAGTCGAAGCTGAAGAAGACGGAGACGCAAGAGAAGAACCCGCTGCCCTCGAAAGAGACCATCGAGCAGGAGAAACAAGCCGGCGAGTCCTAACGGAGGGCGAAGCTCCGCCCACACACACACACGCACACATTCCACACACGCGTTTGCCTTCTTCTTTTTTACGTCTTTTTCGCTGTTTGTTTTTTTTGTGCGACGCCGAGAGAGGTGGCAGCAAGTCCAAGAACTGACGACGGAGGAGGAGGAGCCACGCCTGCCTGCTTGCCTGCCTCCGCCATCTGTCTGGCAAGGAAAAAAAAAAAAAACACACACACACACAATGTGGCGAAGGAGGAGTCGCTGGGTGGGTGGGGGAGGGGCGGCGGAGCCGTCGCGCGCGAGGGAAAGCGGGCTGTCCAACGCTGTTTAACCAGAGTGCCATTTTTTTTGTGCAAAATGATGAACTATCAGAATGCGCCATTTTTTTTAATATGCAAATAAAGTTTTAAAAGCTAAAAAAAAAAAAAAAAAAGAAAAAGAAAGGACTTGGGAGCAGGATGACCTGAGTTTCTGTTTGCCTCAATTCATAGTTGTATGGACTTGGGCAGTTGAATTAAACTCCGTGGTTTGGTTCACTCTCCTCCTGCTAAATACCCTTTGAAATCTCACTGTTACTCTGAGGATAAAGTCCAAAATCCTTAGGGTCTTTCCCCCCTTATTGTTGCCCCAGATTTCTTGAAACTCCTTCAATCTCCACATCTCTGTACCTACAAGGCCCTCAAATCTGGACTGCTCTTCCTTTGTTCTCTGTCCTGCAAACCTCTACTCCGCACTTAGGTCTGTTTAAGAGTCACTGATTCCCTCCACCTAGCGGCACTTGCACACCGGGTTCTAGTCCCGGTCGGGGCACCGGATTCTGTCCCGGTTGCCCCTCTTGCAGGCCAGCTCTCTGCTGTGGCCAGGGAGTGCAGTGGAGGATGGCCCAGGTGCTTGGGCCCTGCACCCCATGGGAGACCAGGAAAAGCACCTGGCTCCTGGCTCCTGCCATCGGATCAGCGCGGTGCGCCGGCCGCAGCGCGCCGGCCGCGGCAGCCATTGGAGGGTGAACCAACGGCAAAGGAAGACCTTTATCTCTGTCTCTCTCTCTCACTGTCCACTCTGCCTATCAAAAAAAAAAAAAAAAGAGTCACTGATTCAAGGTGGACGTCCCTGACGGCAACCCCCTACATACCTCCCTTAGAAGAAGACCTAACCGCCATAACGGAACCCACATAAAACTTGGCATTTGTCAAAAGTGTAACAAAGTTATTTTGCAGGTAGCTGTTTGCTCAGTATCAAAGCTTCCTCTCTCACCTATGTTTCTCAGGCCTGCTGTTTTCACTGTCAAGTTTAACACTATGCCTATGGCCACCCAATTTGCTAACCTAACCATTTAAATTTATCTTATTAAGATAAATTTTTTAAATATATCTTATTAAGAACAAACTCTCTTTTCTTAATCACTCACTCCACCCAAGAGGAAGTCTAGATAGCAGAGCTGTTAAAGGGCAGGGACTCTGAGACTGAACTCTCTTCACTACTTCTCTGTTGTGTGGCCTTAGCAACCTCGCCAACCTTCCATTTCCTAATCTATGGAGTAGAATTAATGACAAAACCTACTGCCTAAGGGTTGTTGAGAAAATAAAGTAGACTACCCTCTAGAAAACTGTTTAGAGTGGTGTTGGTCACGTAGGAATCAGTATCTGAAGATGTCCTGCCTGCCTCCACTGTCGTAGGGTTTTCCTGTAATTATATCATTTCCCAGAATCCCCACTGCCATAGAGGAGTCTCTCTGTTTCCCTTACCTTTGATGATTTCAGACAAATCCACAGCTTTAAGTATCTCATCCATTGGAAGGGCACTGAAATCTCTAGCTGTAGTTTCTCTTGAGAGTTTTTGACACATCAAACACGGTGTAGCGCACCCACATTCATCATTACCCTATCAAACTAGTTCTTTCTTTTGACATCTGTATTTCTGTTAGTTGCATCCCAATTCCTTCAGCGAGGGCCAAGTTTCTAATTTATCTATGTCTCTTCCTTCTCGCTTACTGCGTGGCTCAGCTGTTGCCAATCCCTATTGATTGCTTCTGAAATACCTCTTGCATCTTTTTCTTCCTTTTAATTCCCACTGCTACCACCTAGTCTAGGTTCTCATTAATCTCTTTCTCGTCTGGACTGTAACAATAGCCTACCATCTGATCTTCACAACTTCAGACTCAGCTTAAACGTAACAAGAATTCCTTCAGAGGCAGACACTCTCACAACACATCCCTCTTTCCGCTCTTTCTCTGTCCCCCCCCACCTCTCCCTCTCTCTCCCTGTTGTGTGAAGTTCTATCCATGCCTTCCCTCATGACATCAAATACTATAACCAACCAGTTCATGTCTATATCCTCAGCACCTAGATGTCCTATTAGATATCACGTTCAGTATTAATATTAAATATCATTATTACAGTAGTTTATGATTAATGTGGTTTGTTGTTATTGAAATAGTACTATCAAATTTTAAATATTGCCACAAGTATTTGTTCAGTTAATTATTGAATAAGTCCATCTTCTGTCCTCGCTCTGATCTGTGGTATGCATACTTCATCTACCTAAATTGGATTTCTGGTTAATTCACTCCCTGCACACATCACCATTGCTCTCAATTGATTGCCTGCTGCCTGATGGCTTCACTGTAGAAAATGAAGCCCCAAATGAGAATCCACACTGACTTCTATGAAAACGCCATTCCATACAGAATGCTCTAGGAGTTGCTCTTTTAGTCAGGAAAATGACAATGTAAGTTATGATTTTAAAAGCTTCCTCACGGGGCTGGCACTGTGACATAGCAGGTAAAGCCGCCACCTGCAGTGTCGGCATCCCATATGGGCGCCGGTTCAAGTCCCAGCAGCTCCACTTCTGATCCGGCTCTCTGCTATGTCCTGGGAAAGCAGTAGAAGATGGCCCAAGTGCTTGGGCCTCTGCACCCATGTGGGAGACCTAAAGGAAGCTCCTGGCCTCTGGCTTCTAATAGGCGCAGCTTTGGCCATTGCGGATATTTGGGGAGTGAACCAGTGGATGGAAGACCTGTCTCTCTCTCTCTCTCTCTCTCTCTCTTCTGCCTCTGCCTCTCTGTAGCCATGCCTTTCAAATAAATAAATAAATCTTAAAAGAAAAGAAAAGAAAGAAAAAAGCTTCCTCAGGCTATATCATGCAGATCAATAGAGAAAACAGATGACCTAATCTTTCCTTGTTATACCTGCTTCTAAACCAGAAGATGCAGTTATATCAACATACTCCAGGCATGAGGATATTAGTTAAGGAAAAGAGAAGCATATGCTCATTCAACAAATTTTTATTTAGTTTAATTTTGTCTGAGTGGCAGAGAGACAGAGAAAAGAGAGACCTTCCATTTGTGGTTCACTCCCCAAATGCCTGTGAAAAATGAAGTGGGGCCAAACCAAAGTCAGCAGCCTGAAACTTAGCGTGGGTCTGCTCTGTGGGTGGCAGGAACCCCAGTACTTGAGCCATCATCTGAAACCTCCCAGGATGTGCTGTATTGGAAGCAGGGTAGCCAGGACTCCACTCAGGCACTCTGATATGAGATGCAGGTATCCCAAATGACAGCTAAACTGCTGTGGCATACTCCTGCCTCCAAGAGTTGCTTGCATTTAAATAAACATGCTGAAGTTGTACAGTTTCTTCAGTACTTTTGTTGTAAAGATTTATTTTATTTATTTAAGGGCGGAGTTACAGAAAGAGAGAGGAAGAGACAGAGACAGAGAGATCTCCCATCTGCTAACAGCTGCAATGGACAGGGCTGGGCCAGGCTGAAGCCAGGAGCCAGAAATTTTATCTGCGTCTCCCACATGAGTGGCAGGGGTCCAAGCATTTGGGCCAGCTTCCAGTGTTTCCCCAGGCACGTTAGCAGGGAAATAGATGGGAAGTAGAGCAGCTGGGACTCAAACCGGTACCCACATGGGATGTTGGTGCTACAGGAGGCCACTTAACTCGCTATGCCATGGTACTGGCCCCAAACTTCAATGCTTTAAAATGAAAATTTTCTTTTTCAGGTGTAAAATAGAATCCAAGATAATAGTATAATTTTCCTCTACTCTATTTAAACTCATTTCACCTCACCTCTTGTCTTAACCACTATACCAACTGCCTGTCCTGATACTCTTTCTTAATATTTTTTTTCTAAGATTTATTTATTTATTTGAGAGGCAGAGTTACAGACAGAGGGGGATATCTTTCATCGGCTGGTTCACTCCTCAAATGGCCATAATTAAGCTGAGACAATCTGAAGTTAGGAGCCAGGGGCCTCTTCCGGGTCTCCCACATGGGTGCAGGGGCCCAAGGACTTGGGCCATCCTCCACTGCTTTCCCAGGCCATAGCAGAGAGCTGGACTGGATGCCCATATGGAATGCCAGCACCACAGGCAGTGGCTTAGCTTACTATGCCATAGCACCAGCCCCTCTTAATAGATTTTAAACGTCCTGATCTTGGAGCTGGCGTTGTGGCATAGTGGGTAAAGCTGCCATCCCATATGGGCACTGATTCAAGTCCCAGATGCGTCACTGCCCATCTGGCTCCCTGCTAATGCTCCTAAGAGATCAGCAAAGGATGAGTCAAGTCTTGGAGACCCAGAAGAAGCGCCTGGCTTTGGTCTGGCCCAGCCCTGGCCGCTGTGGCCATCTGGGGAGTGAACCAGTGGATGGAAGATACCTCTCTCTCTCTAACTCAGCCTTTTTTATTTTTATTTTATTATTTTTTTTTTGACAGGCAGAGTGGACAGTGAGAGAGAGAGACAGAGAGAAAGGTCTTCCTTTGCCATTGGTTCACCCTCCAATGGCCGCGTGGTCAGCGTGCTGTGGCCAGCGTACCACGCTGATCCGATGGCAGGAGCCAGGTACTTATCCTGGTCTCCCATGGGGTGCAGGGCCCAAGCACCTGGGCCATCCTCCACTGCCTTCCCGAGCCACAACAGAGAGCTGGCCTGGAAGAGGGGCAACGGGACAGAATCTGGCGCCCCGACCAGGACTAGAACCCGGTGTGCCGGCGCCGCAAGGGGGAGGATTAGCCTAGTGAGCCGCGGCGCCAGCCTAACTCAGCCTTTTAAATTAATAAAATAAATCTTGTTTTAAAAGTCCTGATCTTATATTGTTAACAGTAATA